TTCTGTGACTTGTATGATTTTTGGCCTTTCTGGTAACTCCAGTAATAAGCTCAAAGGGTGCTTATTTGAGTTTAACCTGCCTTTGTTGTTGTTGTTGTTGGTTAGCAATATATTTTTTAACATAGTGAAGAAATTTTGCAAGTAGAGGTTTTTCTTTTTCCTTTTTTCTTTTGGGTCATACTACATGGTATTCGGGGATCACTTATTGGTACTCAGGGATCACTCCTGGTGGTGCTCAGGGGATCATATGTGGAGCTGGGGAACAGAACTGAGGTGACCATGTATAAGGCAAGTGCCATAACCCTTGTCCTACCTCTCTGACTCAAGCGGAAGATTTTTTTTTTTATGTTTTATTTATTGAATCACCATGAGAACAGTCACAAAGTCTTTTAGTTTAAGTCTCGGTCGGTCATATAATGATCAAAAACCCATCCCTTCACCAGTGCACATTTTCCACCACCAAGAACCCCAGTATAGCCCCCTCCCAACCCCCACCCCCACCTGTGTGGCAGATATCCACTTCACTCTCTATGTTGATCACATTCAATATTATGACAAAAGACCCAACATTATTATATGGAATTTTCCCCAGCATTCAGATCTGCCAAAAAGATATCATTAGATAATTTGTTTTCTATTGCTGATTATGAAAAGCATATGATGTCGTGTGGCCACAGTAGTGGCCATGCGATTTTGGATTTCTGATATTTTAGTAATAAGCCTAGATGGATTACTGCCAAAAGCCCCTGGGTTCAGAAATTGGTTTGTGTGCCTCTGGGATTATGGTCATTCAGGAGCCGGAGAAGGCGTTTGTGGGTGGCAACCCGGGGCATTGTCAGGGCAGGGAAAAAAAACGATGAATGACTGGAGGACACCCCCCCCCCCCATCCCACAAGGCCCCATGTGCCTCGTCAATGCATTGTCATACCTGGCAGTCCATTAGGCTCTAAAAGATGGAGGCCATCATGCCGCCGCCACAAGTGGGGACAGGCAGGGGACAAACACCCTTTCCCTCCCAAGGTGGCATAGCACTATAGTTAAATGCACAGTCGAGATGCATTTTGGTTGGGCATTAGATTTTGCTCATATTTTCCCACCACCATTACCACCATTCAAGCCTGTCTTCCAGGGACAGATGATGGATCATTTACTTTCCATTGCTCACTTAGCATATCAGGAAATGTCGCACGCTGCATAAGTGGCCATGCGGTTCGAAGAATAGTCCTGGTGCCTGCATACTGGAGCCATGCTTGTAGAAGCTCATGGTCACTGGGATTCCATCTGGAGAAGGCAGGAAGATAGCACCTACCCCATCTAGGACCTCCCGGTGATATCAGTATGGGGCCTGGGGAATTCCAAGTGGAGGATTTTTTTAAAAAATTTTCATTAGTGAAGCACCATGAGATAGACCTAGAAATTTTTGTGCTTGGGTTTCAATTATACAATGATCAAATACCCATCCCTCTACCAGCGCCCATTTTCCACCACCACGGAATCCAGTATCCCTCCCACCCCCCACCCCCCATCCCACCCTGCCTCTGTGGCAGGGCATTCCCTTTTGTTCTCTCTCTCCTTTTGAGTGCTGTGGTTTGCAAAAGAGGCATTGAGTAGCAATCATGTTTGGTCTATAGTTCTACTTTCATCATGCTTCTCCAATCCTGGAAGGATCCTCCCAACACCCTTTATTTGGTGCTTCCTTCTCTACCTGAGCTGTCTTTTCCCCTAGCATGTGTGGCTGGTCTCCAAGCCATGGAGTAAACCTCCTGGTACTAATCTCGGCTATTCTTGGGTGTTAGTCTCCTATTATGTTACTTTATGTTCCCCAGATGAATGCAATCTTCCTATGTCTTTTCCTCTCTTTCTGACTCATTTCGCTTAACATGATACTTTCCATGTAATACCACTTGTGTGTAAATTTCATGACTTCATCTTTTCTAACAGCTACATAGTACTCCATTGTGTAGATGTATTAAAGTGTCTTTAACCAGTCATCTGTTCTCAGGCACTCAGGTTTTTTCCAGATTCTGGCTATTGTGAAGAGTGCTGCAATGAACAAACAATTGCAGATGTCACTTTGAGTATACTTTTTTGCCTTTCTGGGCTATATTCCCAGGAGTGGCATTGCTGGGTCAAATGGGAGCTCAATTTCTAATTTTTGGAGAATCGTCCATACTGTTTTCCAAAAGGGCTGAACCAGTTGGCATTCCCACCAGCAGTGAAGGAGGGTCCCTTTCTCACCACATCTGCGCCAGCACCGGTGCTTTTGTTCTTTTGGATGTGGGCCAGTCTCTGTGGTGTGAGGTAATATCTCATTGTTGTTTTGATCTGCATCTCCCTGATGATTAATGATATAGTGCATTTTCTCATGTGCCTTTTTGCCTTTCGGATTTCATCTTTGACAAAGTTTCTATTCATTTTGTTGTCCCATTTTTTAAAATGGGGTTGGATGTTTTCTTCTTGTGGAGTTCAACCAGTACTTTACATATCCTTGATATCAACCCCTTGTTGGATGTGTATTCGGCGAATATCCTTTCCCATTCTGTTGACTGTCTTTGTATTTTGATCATTGTTTCATTTGAGGTGCAGAAACGTCTTAGTTTAAGATAGTCCCATTTGTCTATCTCTGTTTTTACTTGCTCAGCCAGTGGTGTGACAGCTTTGAAAATACCGTTAGCTTCAACGTAATGGAAGATTGCCAACTTTTTCTTCAAAGTACCGTATGGATTCCGGTCTGATGTTGAGGTCTTTAATCCATTTTGATCTTACTTTTGTACATGGTATTAGGCAGAGATCTGAGCCCATTTTTTTTTTGCATGTAGCAGTCCAGTTTGGCCAGCACAATTTGTTAAAGAGGCTTTTCTTACTCCACTTCACATTTCTTGCTCCTTTATCACAGATTAATTGATCATATGTTTGAGGGGAGATGTCAGAATATTCAGCTCTGTTCCATTGGTCTGCAGCTCTGCCTTTGTTCCAGTACCATGCTATTTTAATTATTACTGCTTTGTAGTAGAGTTTGAAGTTAGGGAGGTTGATTCCTCCCATTTTCTTTTTCCCAAGAATTGCTTTAGCTATTCGTGAGGGCTTTTTGTTCCATATGAATTTCAGGAGTGTTTGCTCCATTTCTTTGAAAAATGTCATGGGTATCCTTATAGGGATCACATTGAATTTGTACAGTGCTTTGGGAAGTATTGCCATTTTAACAATGCTAATTCTCCCCATCCATGAACAGGGGATATCTTTCCATTTTCTCATGTCCTCTTTTATTTCCTGAAGTAGCGTTTTGTAGTTTTCTTTGTACAGGCCCTTTACTTCTTTAGTTAAGCTGATTCCTAGGTATTTGATTTCTCTGAAGGACAATTGTGAATGGGATTTTTTTTTCATGTCACTTTCTTCTCTCTTCCAAGTGGAGGATTTTTAAGGAGCCTCTGTTGGGACTCTGACTTGTACATATTGCTAGGAGCTGACTGCTGGAGAAGCAGTAATTTATGCCTTATTTCTTTGGTTGGTGAAACAGTTGCAGCACACCCATGAGGAACACAGAGTTTGTGAATGTGAAGGGATTCACTTTTCTTTAGAGGGTGCAGTTACACTAGTTGTGGGTATCTGTGGCATGTTTGCATGAAGGTGGTTTATCCTAGGCGCTGGGGCTGGCTGCTGTTTCTGTGCCCCTCCCTGCTTCCTGAAAAATCTGCTATTTACTGAGTGATGGGCTGGAGCGATAGCACAGTGGGTAGGGCGTTTGCCTTGCACACAGCCAACATGGCCGACCCGAGTTCGATTCCTCCACCCCTCTCGGAGAGCCTGGCAAGCTACCGAGAGTATCTCGCCTGCACTGCAAAGCCTGGCAAAGCCTACCCATGACATATTCGATATGCCATACACAGTAACAACAAAGTCTCATGATGGAGACATTACTGGGCCTGCTTGAGAAAAATGATGAACAATGGGAGGACAGTGACAGTGACAGTATTGCCAGTTCTCTTTATTAACTGACCTTTGTTCATTAACGTCTGGGTTGGTTTCTTTTTTCCTTACTGGATCCCGGCTGTTAGATTGGTATCATCATTCCAGGCATTCTTGCAAATTGTAGACATGTCATAAATGTTCATTTATAGTGATATTGATCAGGGCGACTAATAGATATTTGTCTTCACTCCTGAAAAGCTAAAAGTACTTTTCATAAAACATTTTCCTGAGACTGTTTTTGGGGGTGTTGGTTTTTATGCCTTCTACTTTGCAGTGTCAAACAAATGGATTTTTTTTGACCTCCTCAGCTTCCGATTTATGCTCCCTTAGTCATAGAAGGGATGATTCTTGGTATCCACTGGCTTGCATTATTAAACTGTAGCAGAATAAACCCTGATATCATGTCTTGCTTCCCACAGTTGCTTTGGTAGACTCTGCCCCTGACCTTCCCCGTCCTGAGCTGGTTCTCTTGGCACACAGGCCTACTTACGTGCCAACCCAGTTCTTGGCCTTCCCACAAGGATTCCCACAAGGTTCCATTCGAGATGGCGGTTTCCAAATTGGGGGTGTCTGTCTGCCAGCGCTGGATTTGAGACCACCAGCTTGTTTTTCCAAACACTAATATCTCAGTGATCTTCCAAACATATTTTCCTTTCCAGAATATTTTCCAAAAGATTTGTAAGAATTTCTGTAACACTTTTTCCTTTTGAAGTCTTTAAGAGCCTAAGGGGAGGGACAAGGGTATTAACTTGGCAGACTAGTTTTAAAAACCTTCTTTGAAAAATATTTTCTCCTTAAAAACAAACAACTCTCTTTACATATTTAGGTAATTCATTTGGAAGAAACTGCTGGTCAGCTACTCACATAGTCTTTGGCAGCTTCAGTTCAGAGTGTTCTGGACCCCCCAACTACAAAGCCTCAAATGTTTTGTCTTTGCAAGCACAACTTAACCTTCACTACTATGTAGTAGTGAGAAAGTGACAACTCATTTTAAAGATTCTTCCCTTTGTTTCTTTGTCTTTCCTCTGCAGGCCATGTGTTTATACTATGGGATCGCCCATAAACAACAGGGCCCTTTTTCCATGCCAGGAGCCACCCGTTGCCATGTCAACATGGCAGGCTACGGTTCGAGCAGCTGCATCTTTTGTTATTTTAATGAGTGGGGAAAATTCTGCTAAGCCAACACAGCTTCAGGAAGGTACTGTACATGTGTTTTGTGTTTCTTTGTATATTGTATACACGTTGGACCCAGGGACACAATATGCCATGCTTTTCTCAACCTTATAAAGTTCCTTTATTAGTTGTTAGTATGAGCGTATTGTTAAACACATCCTGCCAGGAGAATAAACAGGGGCTGGGAAGGGTCTAGGAGAAATGGGTTCTTCATGCCAGAGTTATCAATTCCTGGATGATTTAGGCGGCTGCTTTCACCTGGTGGTTTGTGGCTCATCAGTGGTCTCATGAGAAGGCTTTCTGGGCAGACACATGTGTCATGGAAATACATTTTCAGATTGTGCCGAATGACAGTGCTCCCGTTGGCCAATGCGCTGGGCTAGAGTTGCTTCTGGAAAGCATGCTACACTGTTTGTCCATGAGCCCTGAGCCAGAGGTCCGTAAGAAGATGGAAGGCAGCACTAGTGCGTGCGCAAGGCTTCTTCTACTTATTATCTGTGTATTGAAATAATTAACTCTTCACAGTACGTACTGCTAAGCATATTGAAATCAGGTAACATTTTTGTTATTCTTGTTTCCTTAATATGTATTATGATGTCTCTCCTCTCACATGCCAGAGTCTCGTTCATTATCGGAATTAACCAGACAAATCGCACATGGGCTGGAGCGATAGCACAGCGGTAGGGCGTTTGCCTTGCACGCAGCCAACATGCCCGACCCGAGTTCGATTGCTCCGCCCCTCTCGAGAGTATCTCGCCTGCATGGCAGAGCCTGGCAAGCTACCGGTGACGTATTCGATATGCCAGACACAGTAACAACAAAGTCTCCAATGGAGACGTTACTGGGCCCGCTCGAGCAAATCGATGATCAACGGAAGGGCCTTTCTTTTTATTTTTTTACTCCTCTCACATATCTGAGGCCGGAGAGAGTTGTGTGTCTTGCACACAACTGACCTAGGTTAGTCTGTCACCACATATCGTTCCCTGAACACTGCTTGGAGTGATCCCTGAGCACAAAGCCAGGAGTAAGCTCTGAAAACCACCAGGATTAGCACAAAAATCTAAATTAATTAGGATATTGATCTCTTATATTTATGAGTATTTTGTACAGCTTTTAAGTTTACATAACATTTTGATCTTTCTTAACATACACTATTATATAAATTTTCTATAACATAAATTTAAAATTTATATATTTCTATATATAAATTTAATTAAATTTGTATATTTTTGTCTATCGGAGATTGTAATTTTTATGTTTTCACATACATCAGAATTATCTTTAAAAGTCTTTCTTTGGTTTGAGAGCTACTGTTTTATTCTAATATTTGTATTTAATTTAAAACTTTCAATTTGAACTTTGTAGTTTAACTTTTTAATCTGTTTCTAGTTCACGTTGGTTGGGTTCTGAAATAAAGACTAAACTTTTTTTCACGTAAGAATTGGTTGCTCAGGATCATTTATTGTATTTTATTCTAGTTTGTGTTATCCTCTTAAAAACCGTCTTCAGTGAATGTACACTTGATGCTGAAAGTAAGAGCAAAACAAAGAATACATTTAAATTTTCATTTTTGGGCCCCCACTGGCTGTGCTCAGGATTCTGGGGGCCACTCCCAGGATGCTCAGCCTTGCCTGGGCCTTATATGCTAGGCAGGGAGCCATGCCAGCAGTGCTCAGGTTCCTGGGGGTGCAGACATTGCGCCTCTAGCCTCTGTTTGCAAAGGTTTGAAGTTTGTTTTTTAAAATGGGCTGTGGGGCTGGAGCGATAGCACTGCAGGTAAGTCATTTGCCTTGCACGTGGCCAACCGGGTTCGATTCCCAGCATCCCATATGGTCCCCCAAGCACTGCCAGGAGTAATTCCTGAGTGCAGAGCCAGGAGTAACCCCTGAGTATCGCCAGGTGTGACCCTCCAAAAAAAGCAAAAAAACAAAAATGAAAAACAAAAACAAGAAAGGGCTGAGTTTATTGACTTTTATTTCTAGTAAAGTATCCTTTCCTCTCCTGCTTCTCCACTGCCTAGTAGCCCTCTCCAAGGTGATCAGGGCACCATTTCCTTTGTCCAGGTCTTTGAGTCAGTCTCCCTGGCCCTCTATGATATTTCTTTTTCCTTTGGTTGCAGAAATCATAGTATGCTGTAACTCATTTTTTGTATGTTTCTACCCTTCTGAGATGAATTTTACTTTTGGGGAACCATCCAAGCACTGCTCAGAGACCCCGGGTCCACTCCTGGCAACTGACTGGGCTGGATAGTTCTATGTGAGCCTGAGGTTGGCCCTGAAGGGCCCCCTGAACCAGACTCAGCAGTGTTCAGACTCCAGGGACCAGGATGGCCGCTCACATGCAAAGCAGATGCCTCTGAGTGCTGTCCCCTAGAGTAGATTTATTCTATTGATAGTTCATATCTGGCCATGAGGTACTTCCTCATTATTTTTTGACCATATGGTATTCTATTAAAGGGTATTTCGCAATTTAGTTAGCCAATTTGGTTTTATCTATTTAATAAGGAATTTAATCCAACAAGGAATTTACTCTGTCATCTTTGCTTACTTACATTCCTCAGTTTTAATTAATATAATTAGGTGTTTGGGACTCTTATTATCTCCTTGTTTGAGTATGTCTTCTCCTCTAAGAATTGCAATTAATGTTTGACATTTTCATTCAGTTTCAAACCATGTTTGCAATAAGCATCTAGGCTTTTTTTTAATTCTCAAACTTGAGTCATGTTTTAACCAGCCTAGAAATTATTTTAGTTTTTCTTCTAAAAGGGTGGAAGTTTGGTTAGTTTCTGAGGAATTCCATATTGAGGTTGGTTATTTGTTGTAAATACTTTTATATACAATTTGAGGCTACATAAAATTTATTTTGTGCTACAGAGAACCCAATACCTCATACGTGTTTGCTGTCATTGAGCTGTATCCCCAGCCACACTTTACCTTTTAATTACTGAATATTTTCACCATAATCTCCTAGAATTTTTGAAGAGAAATCTGATATCCTTTTTTAAAATTCTTTGAAAGTAGTTTAATTTTCCTTTGTGGAAACCCATAAATTCAAATTGAATATGTTTGATTTCTAATCAATTCAAAGTAATATGTTTGAATTCTTAAAAATAGTTCTAAACTTACTAAAATGAATCTGGTTTTGGGGGGGGAAATCAACTTTAGGGCCAGACAGGTAGTAAAGAGGTTCAGATGTTTGCCTTGCGTATGACCATTCCTGGCTCAACCCCCCTCTTCCCCCTCACCAACACATATAGTCCCTGGAGCACTGCTAGAAGTGATCCTCGAGACAGGGCCAGGAGTATTCCCTGAGCACAGCCAGATGTGGCTCCCAAACCACTCCCCCTCAAATAAATCAGTTTCATGAATGAATGTTTGTAGTCAAATGACATGCACTTTAGGTCTTCTTTAATCACAAATACACACTTTCCGTTCAGGACAGAATTATGATAAAGGAAATGCTTTTTTGGGATTCACTTATCTTCATTATCACCTAGGCCAAACATAAAATCATGGAGCATACTTAACAAATTAAAACTAAGAGAGGATTTAGCTACAAAAAAAGAGAGTACTTGTGCTTAGTACTACAATTCTTCCTGCTGTTTATAATTAAGGTTTATTAGAGACAGCTGGGAAAGAGTGCTACCAAAGCTGATCAGACCCAGAATGACTCTTCTAAGGATGGGAATAATGTCCACAGATGTCTGCATTCCCTCAAGGAAAAGCACAAGATGCTGTCACTTCCTTTCCATATTCTGACTGGTAGATTGGCCTTCACTCTCTTGTGTACTATGCCCTTTAATAGAGTACAGTGGAGAAGGCCTTGCATGTGGCTGACCCGGATTTAACCCCTGGCACGAATATGATTTCTAGGCATAATTCCCAAGCACAGAACCAGGAGTAAGCCATGAGCAGCACCAGGTATCACCCCCAAAACAAATCATAATTTAAAAAAATGACAAAACGAAACAACTTTGGATCGGATGTGGGCTCAAGTGGTAGAGCACATGCGTTGCTTGAGTGAATCCCTGGGTGGCCCCCGACACCACGAGGTGTGACTTTGAAGTGCCAGAACAATATGCTGCCAAAGTGAGTGACAAAACAACAGCAACAATAGGCAAAACAAATCTGTGAGCTACCCTTGAAAATATGAGCAGCAAAACCCAACTTCTTTTTTTTTTAATTTTTTAATTTTTTTTTATTAGTGAAACACCATGAAGTACATTTATAGACTTATACATTTTTGTGCTTGGGTTTCATTTATACAATGATCAAGTACCCATCCCTCCACCAGTGCCCATCCTCCCCCACCACGGGTCCTAGCATCCCCCCATCCCCCCCCCCCCCCCCCCCGTCCCACCCTGCCGCTGTGGCAGGGCATTCCCCCTTGTGCTCTCTCTCTTCTTTTGAAAACCCAACTTCTAAGTCACAATTTCTATCACAATACATCAACCTGATTAGTACTTCTAGCTGGTGCCTGGTTGTTTCCTGAAAGAAACAAATTACCTTAATATTCTTAATATACTTAAGTAATGAGGCAAATAGCAGTGGCAGAAATGACACAGTCCTTGGTTAGGTGACAGAAATCAGAAGAGGGACTGCCGAGTCCTGCCCCTTGTGAAGGAAATGATTCTACCTACTGTTCTTAAAGAGAAGGCTAATGGTCCAGACTATAGGTTGATGACTAGCATAAGAATTTATGAGCAGAGGAATCACTATCCTTTTTTCAAGAAGGCCTTAGAGCTTAATGGACTTATTTGGCTTATATTTTTAACTTGCACAGACTCATTTGGCAGAGAGAAAGCCTATATATTACTGTCGGCCTGCATTTCCTAAAAAATATAGCCTATTAAGCAGAGACCCAGTGCTCAGTCCAGTTCCTTGTACATGCCAGACACTCAGTAACTAATTTTTTGAATAATTGTGTTCTTTATAATCAGACAGAACCAATAATGTTAATTTTAACGTACTACTGATAGGGACAAAAGTCATTGTTTTGTTTTGTTTTGTTTTGATTTGGACCATA